ACGTGCTAAAAGAAGAGGGAAAGAACACCCGCGTCTGCCCCGGACATCGCCCCCGTCTGCACTAACAACAGCCTTTAATACCCTCCAAACACTTAAAAAAAAAAAAAAAAACACCTTAAAAATATTCATTTTGGTCAGGAAACTGCAACTTCTGGTTGTGTTGCTTCACTCCACGTATAAAATGAAATCAACTGTCTGAATAATCGGCCTTAATCAGCCTACTCAGGAAGGAGTTGAAGTGCCACAGCTACAAAAACAGGACCATGTGATTGTACTTCTTTAAGCTAAGATCTATAAAACAAAACAAAAACCATCACTATTGAAATCCCCAGGGAATTCTCTGTCCCATCACGTCTTCCCAAAGTTACATTAAAGGCAAGTTTTAAGCTACACGAAGCATCTGCTCCCTTGGGAACTTTCAGAAATATTTTGTCACTGAAAAGCCTTTTATCCAAACCTACAGGATCTGAATTTTAAGTCTGAACACTCCTATGGCCCTTAGAAATACAGATTTTATTATTAATAATCTTATTTATTTTAAATGTAGAGAAACCCATTTACTCTGACAAAGCTAGTTTCAAAATACAGCTTTAAGATTCAGTATTTCCAAGTGACTCCACTGATCTCTGAGATGCTCAGATAGCCCTGAATGCAGGTTAGTCTTTAAATAAAAGCTACTTTGCCAACTGTTTACTTATAACAAGATCAAGGCGGTTAAGAAGATTGCCACAGAAAGTGGACTTATGCTCGTCTCCAGGATTGTGAGATCTGACCAGCAATTCTCAGCAGCTGTTTTAAAACCTGAGAAACCAAACAATTCCATCAGTTGCTGAAACTCATCCTGCAATGAATGTAAAAAACATCTGGAACATCTGGAAGTCTGAACGAGACTCCAGAAAATGTACATCAAGGCTAGGCAAGGAGAGAGACTGCTGGTTTTTGAAAAGCCTCAGCTTGATGATCCTTTCAAGACCAAGGGGTTTTCATGCCAGTCTCAGCTATTTATGACAGTCACAAAAGACATTCCCCCCACCCCCAAGCACATAGTACCAAAAAGAGGTTTTGACTTGTCTTCTCCCATCCATTCACTCACAACTCAAACTAAATTTCAGCTAACCATTTCTGCTCCAGATGGATTGAGCAGTCCAAGACTTGCATCTGAAATGATGCACAGTGTCTGTGCATGGAAGGCAGGTATCACACAGGTTCAAGTTTATCCTTCTAAGCAGATGCTGTATTTTTCAAGAGTTTAACTAAAGTTGCTTTGGTGCCTCGCTAGAGCAAAAATCATAAAAACAAGCTGCATTTTGGGAAGGAGGCTTGAATAACTATGTCCAGACTTCAGACAAAGCTGCACATATGTAGTTCCAAACAACTTAAAAAGCAGAGTAGCCAATTCTTGCTGCTTTCTTGCCTGAGAACCCAGCACTGCAAGTCTGGCAGTACACTCCAAAGCACGGTTACTCGGTGAAAAACTGAAACAAGATGTCAGTATATTGACAGATTTCTTAAAGTGCTTCTTTCATTCAATTTTTATTTATCTGAGTTTGTTTAAATTTTAAATGTTTGTGGAATTTTCTTAATCAGGTGATCCTGCAAGAGCTCTTGCAAGGATCAGATCTGCTTTAATGACATCTGCAGCTTAGATTGCCCCTTCCAGTCCACTAAAACCAGCACAGAAGTCCATCATAAAAGGTGTATCTTTTCCTTGCGTCCACTTGGAGAATATTACTTTCCTAAGGAGCAACAATTCAGTAGTTTGAGCATCCAAAGTACTTCGTCTTACCCTAGGTCTTAAAATCTCCCCTATACCAGATTCATCTGCAGTATCCATTCCCACTCTGCGGCTCCTGGCCAACTCACACTTGTGCTGTCTTTTTACAGCACCTCACCAACTCACATTCCTCCAAGGACCTCTGCTGACAGTGAGCCTTTTCTTCAGTAGCATCACTAGTCTTGCTTTGCACCTCCTGCATAAGCTGTAATTCCTCAGCGCTAAGGAAACATCTCAAAGGGACTCAAACCTCATAAATACCAGCTGGATCTCCCAGCATCTTCATGTTAGAGTAAAGCATTAATCCCATGCCACAAGTGAAGAAAATGGGAAATTTCTGAAATTAATTGTCTTGAAGGCCAATCAAAACTAAGAACAGGGAACAAACTCCAGTCTATCACGCCATATCTTCACTACCAAGGAAAAATGCTGTACTAACAGAACACAGTTTGGCAACAAGCTAACGGCCAGAACAAACATCAGTAATCCACAGACTGAAGTATATTAGGTCACAGTTGTACTACAATTAAAAATAATTCAAGTTAGTTACATGTTTTTAGACATTTTTTTTTTATAACACAGAAAAATGTGTATTACATAAGCTGATAAAAAGCATACAAGGAGGAGGCTACTATCTAAACTATTAAAAATTCTCCAATTTAATTTTCATTTTCAATTTAATAGATAAAGATCAAGGAAGCATTTTGCTTGTTTGTTTTCAGATTTGAAAATATATTGCTATTCTTTAGAAACTGAACTGTTTCCAACTGTCTCTAAAGCATAGAAAGCGTTATTTCTTTGAGCCAGCCACATTATACTTTTTCATTAATACTGCAGTAAGGGTCACAATAGAATCAGTATCCAGCAGACAAAGTGACAGCACTTGGATTGCAGTGTCAGATTCAGAAGTAACCAAGTAAAGGTACCAGGAAAGAAATATTGTCCTGAGAAAATAATCTGTATTTGACCATAACCTTTGCAGAGATGTTGTATCTGTTTTGATACCACTGTTACCTTGTAGCAGCAATTATTTTAATAGGACTTCAGGGATTTTTTTTTGTTGACATCACCATATGCCAGTATAAGAATCTGTCTTGTTATCACCTACAGTATTTCCTTACACACTTAACAGTTTAGCACATGCCATTTCAGAAATGCCTTGCACTTCTAGGGTGCCAATTTTCAGATGTTAACCAAGTAGGGGTTCCACTCAAAGCCAATTTGAAAATTGTCAGTAATAATTTAATTTGCTTGAGCTTTTGAAAGATCCCAGCTGTTTAGTAAACATTAAAAACTTACCTGTCAACTAGCGTGACAAGACCTCTTTGCCAATTTTCCTTTATCTTCTGAAATGTGGGCTTCCGGCAGTTCCTTGGGCTACTACAGCAAACACAAGATCTGTCAGAAATTAAGCCAGATCAAAGATCTACAAAACCTCCCAATAATGTGGTCTAAATGGATAGTTTATACCCCTGTAACTTCATACTACTTCTGAATTGCTGAACTTAGCAATAGCTTTTTTACAAAAGATGAAGTCACAGGAAAATCACTGAAGTTCCAGCAAACAGCAACTCACAGGTGAATTCTCTAAGCAACACAGGGGTAGTGCTAACAAGGAAGAATTTCTGTCAGAAGGCAAGTACTTGCATGACCACAAAAGAATTCTAAAAAACTAGTTGAAGGGGGAAAACTCAGCATTCATCACCTTACATACACGCCATACTGTACTGTTCAAGGAATTATTCTAGAAACCATTCAGAAGCCATCTCAGATGGATAGCAAAACAGTGTTAGGAACTGATAAATTTAAGTGATCAGTGCCTCTTCATTTCTTTTAGGGGCGTGATGCCAAATACTAAAGGAAAATTCAATTTATGATAGAGTATTTCCATGGCTGCCACAGCAATTGAATGCTACAGAAGAAAGTTTTTCTTATACTTTTGTACAGGACAATTCTGGTTATAGCTAGACACAATTAATTTCAAGATGGCCTCACTTTATCAATAGAACATTATATTACAAGAGCCCTGCTCCTAAGTTAACGACAGATGAAGTACCGCTGTATGAATTAATGAAATTAAGACACTGTTTTTGAAAGCGTACTGCTCCATACCTGTCACTTGACTTTTATTGCCTCAGGAAAGAAAGATATTAGACAAGATATGGCAGGGAGTTTTGAGCTCCACAGTCTTAACTCGGGCTAAAAAACAAACAAACAAAAAGCTGTACTTAAGGAGACCTCACCCTTTCTTCAGAAACTAAAACAAGTCCAAACAAAATAAAAACAACTTTCACCTGGGAGAAGTCGTGGCATGACATCAAACCAAAATAATTCTATACAGTGCTATCAGTTGTCTAGCCAGGTTGGAAGCCAGAGATTCCGAAGTCTGAGAGGAATATATTCTGTGTCTAACCTATGGAAGACATTGAAACATATCCACCCTGCTTTTTTCTTCCAGGCCTTCCTAGCTCTATCTACAAAAACATTCATTCACAAAAAAGCAATTTTGACCTTGCAATGTGCCACAGAAGTCTACGAGATACATACCAGGATAAGAAATTATCTACTTAGCATTAGATTTATCTAAAAGTTACAACAATGGCACAGAAGTGAAATCCTTCAGCTACACAGTCAAAAACAAACAAACAAAAAAACAAACACAATCTTTCTAATAGTCTACTTTACATGCAATTAATTTAGCATTAAATAACTTAAAATCATGATGTAAATTGAACAAATAATTGTCCATGAACTAAATACATGAGTCTATCACTTTGACATAAAATCAAAGGATGTCCAGATCCAGCAGACTCAGGCAAAGCATATACCAATTGCTTCTTGAATTAACTGTTACAAAAACTATCACCACAAGGTAAACTCTGCTAACAATACCTAAAAGAGCATTAACTACTCGCAACTACCAGAAAATACTTGAACATTCCGAGGACATTAGAGAATGCACTGAGTCTGCTGACTAGACAGTTACATAATCTTTCACATTCACAGGTTTCACTGCAACCTCTCATCTCCCCCAAGAAAACTCAAGAACCACAGCCCTGTGGAAAAAAAATAATGAAAAACATCATTGTTACTATTTCCCAGAGTGCTGAGGGAGACACAGCCTTTTCTCCCTTTCAGGCAGGAACACTGCAATGGTAAACTAAAACTTGGAATCCTCATCATCATAGCTGAATACACCCAAAAAGAAAACTCTTTTTTTTTTTTATTTTTGCTTTACATTTCCCATTTGATACCATGGCAAACTGAATGTTTAACAAAACGAATGTCTCTTTATAACTTAACGTTTACATCAAAAGGTATTCAAATACAAAATATTAAATACGCTTTTGTAACAACAGTATTGGTGCTTCTTAGAAAGACTGACAAAAAGAACCCAACCCAAAACTATAGGCAAGTAGGTCCGGTATTTTGCAGTTTGCCTAATCAAACATTTTTGGCTTAGCAGAACATACACAAAAATCAAAATAAGAGAAAGCAGACTTCTATTTCCAGTTCCGTTGCTGGTTGGCTGGCTGAGATCTCTCAGGGAAGCCTTTCATTTTCCAACAGTCTTCCCACTGCAACTGGGGAGTATGTTTATTTGCTTACCACACAGAAAACTAAGAATTGGAAAACATAAAGTGCTGTAGAGAAATAGCTACAAGTTCTGAGTACTATTATTCCACAGGGGAGGAAAAAAAAAAAAAAAAAGAAAACTGGTTATTTTAAACAAGAAGTTTATTTAAACAACAAGACGCTTTACTAGAAGGGAGAACTATCTAGGATTTTTTTTTTTTTTTTTAAGAGTAATTTACCCCTACTTAGACAGATTGCTCTACAATGTAACAGCTACGTACAAAAAAGTTATAAAATTGTCCTTGGTTTTACAATGATAAAAGAAAAACATTGAAATTATCCAATCAAACAAAGTATGTAAGGTTTTTGTTTTTAAACAAGGAGAGCAAAATAACTTACTGGAATATAAAGATAAAAGTAGAAGGAGCATGCCACTAATGGAGAAAGGGGCATTTTCACAGAACCAGTTTGTTTTCCCACCCCATCTCCATTAAATGTTGATCAAAACATACCATTGGCCATTTAGTTTAAAAAAAAAAAAATGCGTTTTGTCTGTGCACATACACGTTACTTTATGTACAATAGAAGGAATAGGAAAAAAAAAAAATCAAGAGAGAGAAGAGAGAAAACTATACTGCAGTAGTCAGGATGTGGCTGAACCAAGTCTTATTTTTCTAATTGTGAACGTGTTGCCTGTGGGAGCACAGTTCTGGAGAGGAAAGTAGCAGGTTCTTTTTTTGTGGTTTGTTTTTTGTTTGTTTGTTTTTTAGTAAACTCCTCCTGTTTGTTGCTGGAACACATCAATTGTATCTTCATCCTCCATTTCCAACTATAGCAGAAAAGAGAAAAAAGGCTTTCAACTACTATAAGCTGGGTTGTTTTCACATTTCCTTTCTTCATGTTTATTTTTTATGCAACTTATCCAGCCCAGCCCCACTCCCCTCCATCATCGCCATCACTTTGTACATTTAACCTACGTCACCACGATTCAAAAGCAAAGAAATGATGCGGAAATAAATGCCAGTGGGTAACTTGTCCTAGAATTAATTCTTGTATATAACTTCAGGGCGCACTGTAGAATTCCTATGGAAAAGATCAATGTTTCTAATACTTTCATTTTATTGTCTGCTTTGCCACTGCATCTTCTTTCTCCTATTTAATTCCTCCATTTACCTTAGAACACTGCCACAATTCCATTTTGTTGCTGTTGTTCAAATGTGCAAATGGCTTCGGCTACAGCACTAAAGAAAGCATACTATGATTAAAGCCCCTAGGCCAAGCAGGCAGTAGAACAGACAATCAGTAATTATGAACAAATAAAACATTATATATGGTCAACAATGTAACAATCTGCCGGTGAGAAACGGCAATACTGCATTACTGTAAGTCTTGTTTCCACCATAAGGTCTGCAGCTGCTGTTCCTACTGACAAAATCTGCACCAAGACTAGAAATACAACTCATGTTAGTTATAGCAACTTTTTCAAACAGTCTCAATTTCTGCTCCAAGAAATCAAATTGGTCTATGGCATTCAGTGCAGGTATAAAGAGACTGATCCTCAGCTTCGGGATAACATGGATGGAGAGAAAGGCACTGTGTTGCTTCAATTCTCAGCATTTGAAGTTTGAAAGTTCCATAGATTGTGGCTGTAGGAAGCACATTCTCTGGAGAATCTGCTATAAACCTTCTAAAAGTAAGTCTCTTATTTTGTAATGAGTAGTTCTAAAAATCATATAAAAATGTAAAATTCTATTTAAATGCAGCTACGTGGAACAAATAGAAAAACAGTTAAGTGACAGTGAACCACCTGGGTGCTGGAATGGCCTTTGCTTTAACCACATTATAGACTACCTGAACTCCATGATATTCATTAATTTTATGCCACTGAAACACAGCTTCAAATTACAAATAACAAAAAATGACTTTTGTGTTACAAAATGCAAGTTTACAGGCAGAGTCTCTGATAACACCCTAGCAAACCTTTATTAAAAAAATGAAGTTACTGCTTCAGGAAAAACTCAATCCTTACCTTACTGGTTCTTATTTCAGAGCTGTGACTCAATAATCTGGCAGTCTTACAAGATTCACCACCTACTAACATTGTACTTCACCTCTATTGCTACAATGATACAGGCTTGCTATGTAAAGCACACAAGGAGTCTCAGATTTCATTTCCAACAGTTCTGAAGTAGTTCTATCAAAATGTAAGCAACAACTCCTGCAGCAACTTTCAAATACAGCTCTTTAGTTTTGCTTTCTATTTACCTGTGCAGGTGTGTCTGTTTCATTAATTGGCTGCCCATCGAACCGGAATCTGATTTGCCTCATCGACAACCCCTGGGCAAAGAGAAGGAACACAAAAGGAGGTAAGTTTTGTAGAAACCACTCACTACTTTTCTCTTTAACTTGTTACTAGAATTGTGGTACAGTCACTAAAAGCCATCATTCATGATTAATAAAGCAGTTTTCATACTCCCCTCATGCACTGATTTTAAAGCATTTCACTACAAATTCTTGCAATCTGTTTTGCATTAAACATTGTACTGTGTCCAATTACTAAGAGAAGCAGCAGTGTCCACCCTCTGAAAGTTACAGTAATTTCCAGTATACAATTGTCACTCCAAAGGCTAAGATTTTTATAATGCTTTGTAATAATAATAATTCACTGGAAAAAAAAAAGTAAATACAACGCTTTGAATAACAAGTGTTGAATAGTAACACTAAGTACAGCTTTTTTGCTCTTTCCCAAAAGCAAAGGTATCCTAAAACATTTTCCCAGGACAGCAACAGCTGTCTATTAGCATAGGATAGTAGCATAGGATTGCAAATGGCAATTTTTTGACCTTGAACAAGAAACCAACAGAACAGTTTCTCCATATACAGGTGAAATGAACTTTCCAAAGAAGTTAATCTTCTAAACACCAGAAATTATTAAAGAGCATTTTGAGCCAGCATCTCTACCACACACACTAGTCATTTTGCTGGCCAGTTCCAACCCACAAAAGATTACTACTCATTCCTGCTTAAACCAATGGAGAAGTTTCTGTGTCCCCTCTCTCTAGAGATACAGGAAACCAACGGGGCTCTGAAATCACTGCAGTGCATTGCATGTGCATGGCTCTGCTTTGGCACCCCTCAGTTAGAAAAGGAGCCCCAATTTAGCCATGCAAGAACACATGTAACACAGAATAAAACTTAGCTTAATGATGACTTTTGGGAAGTTTTAAAGGAAAAACTTAATAAAGAATATTATGATGAGCAACACTTCTGTTAAGAACTTCATAGATACAGTGAATACATTCTTCTAGTGTGTCTAAGATCCTGCACATTCACTCAAAATATCATCTCATTTAGGAAAAGAGGTGGCTACGTGTCAGGACAACAACCGGCTTCTGCAGAGCTGTGTTCTCAGACTTTGCATTCCCTAAAATACACACTGCCTATTTAGAAACCTTTGGGTTTTTCTGCAGGTTCTCGAGAACTTTTGAGCTGAATAAATGCTAGCTGAAAAAATACTAAAAAGCTGTACCTTTGTGGATATTAATCTCACCAAGAGTATATTTCAATAATTATTTTAAGTGGGGGAAAGTGGTCTTAAATAGTCTTGATCTTTTAAACACATAATTCAAGGCTTAGCCACTGCCATTTTCAACTACGACATACAATACGTCAATTTGTTACCTAAAAGTTGCTAAATTCTCTGTTATATACAGCTTCTACCTCTGTAAAATCAAACCTGAATTTTACTGCTTAAGAATTTTAATACTGAGTATGCCTAATTAGCAATATGAACAAAGTCTGACTTTCAGATTGACAACTAGATGGCATCAGGAAAAAACAAGCCTCATCATTAAGCACAAAAGCTGCTTCCTAAGGTAGACGTTAAACACTTTTAGACCTTGAAACGCTTATTAACATTCTGTCATCTTAACAGGGAAGCACTAAGCTAACAAATCAGAACTCTATGGGCAATCCAGTAGTTAAGACAGTGTTACAATTCATGCTTATCACCCAACTCTCCCTAAGTTCTTTCTGCAGGTTCCTAACTCACCCTTTGCACTCTAACAATTTTGAGACACAGAGAACAGCCCCCACCTACAATCCAGATTTCACAAAGATAACCCACCTTCATTTAACCCATTTCCTGTCATCACTCTCAGTCCTTTCTGGAACAGATCCTAAGAACAATACACCCTCACCACACAATTAGTTTCTGTTAAGCTTCTATCATTCTGTATATTTACACAGTTTAAGACCACCGTTTTCATCCAGCCCTTAGGAGATCCCCTCTCCCCAAGAAAACCCTCTGCTGTGTTCAGGCAAGATCCATACCTGTCGTTCACAATAGGCTTTCATTAGTTTACTAAGTGGTGTATGCCTCTTAATCTTAAACTGCACCACAGACCCATCTTGCCCTGCCACCTTCAGATTAATGTGGTCATTGTTTTCAGTCTTCACTCCTTCCTGTTGAGGAAATTAAAAAAAAGTTTTCTTAAAAGCTATGAAATGAGAAGTTCACATTTTATCAAAGTGCAACAGGTCATTAAAAAGGAGGAAATAAAGTTATTGTTACTGTTTACCAACGTGAAATGTTAAGTGGGAAATAAAGGGCAGTGCAACTTGGGCAATAAGTAACAACAAAAACTAACAGCACTGAGAGTTGTCACTCCTGAGACTGGTTCACGTGCAAAGTGGCAGCGAACAGCACCACAGCAGGAGCAAAGAAAAAAAAGTTATTTCTATCAAGGGCACAGTAACACACAGCACTGAGTTACCAATCAGAGGAGTAAAACCACGTGCGACCGTAATCCCAAACACCGAGGAGGCCATTTCACACTTTATCTCAAACTTTTCTGAACTCCGCTAAGAGACTTCTCAAAGAAGTTTAACACGCTTTAAAGGGCTGCATTTTGAAAAGGTGACGAAGTCCGAACAGCAGCAGCTTTCTCCTCCATAAAGCACTCCGGAGGCGCTCCTGCAGCGCCGTCTGACGCGGCTGCTCCACACCGGAGCCCCGCCGGTTTTACAGCCGCCGCCTCGCGGGGTCCCGCAGCGCACGGAGCGCGGGCGCCATGTGACAGCTCCGCACCGCCTCCCCATTATTCCTCGGAGTCCGATTAGAGACAGAGAAAGGAAAAGCAGCAAAGACAAAAAACAAACAAACAAAAAAAAAAAAAAAAAAGCAGCCCGGGGCAGCGCTGTTTGCTGGCTGCGAGTTCTCGCCGCGGTCGGCCCCGCCGGTTTCATTTCCCGTCGGAAGCCGAAGCGCCGCGCGGTTCCCTCGGCGCGCGGAGCCCCGGGGCGGGCGGAGCGCGAGCAGCGCGGGGCGGGGGATGCTGCGGCGGCAGCGCGGGGAGCAGCCGGTCCGGCCCCGCGAGGAGGAGGACGGCAACGGCAGCAACCGCCTCCAGCGCTGCCTCTCCCCGAGGAGGGCGGGCAGGGAGCCCGCGTCCCCCCCCGCCGCCCTTCCCGCGGATCCTCCGCCCGCCCGGCCGCGCGGCCCCCGGCGCCGCTCCGCGCAGGAAAATGGCGCGCAAAGGCGGCGCGGCCCGGCCCGGCCCCGGGCCCCAGCGCGGCTCCCGGCCTCCCGCGGCCGCCCGAGGGCCGCAGCCGGGAGCGGAGGGGGGCGGGGAGGCGCCCGCCTCACCTTGGGCTTCTCGTCGGCCATGGCGAAGTCGGCGGTGTCCGGGACGCTCCGAGCGCTTCACAAAGGGGGGGACGGATCGACCGAGCGCGGCGGCGGAGCGAGGAGGGAGAGAGAGGGAGAGGGGAAGGCGGGGGGGGAGGGGGAGAGCGCGCACGCACCGCCGCGGGGCCGCGCCTTGCCCCGTGCGTGCGCGCGCCCGCCGGCTTCTCCCCCGCCCCCCCCGCCGCGCGGCCCCGCCGCCCATTGGGCCCCGGCAGGCGGAGGGAGGGGGGAAGGGAGGGGGCGAGGCGGAGGGGGCGGGGGGAGGGAGAGCGCGCGCGCGCCCCGGCCGTTACATAACGCGGCGGCGGGAGGCGGAGCGTGCGCGCTCCCCGCCGGCTGCCCGCGCGCGCCCCGCCCGCCCGCCGGGCGCAGCGGGCCGTGCCGTGCGGCGGGTATTGTCCTCCTCAAAATGGCCGCCGGGCCGCGCCGCCCATCCCCCCCTCCCGGCCGGGCGGCGCCCCTCGCAGCTCCTCGGCGGCAACCCCGCCCGGTCCCCGGCTCCCCTCCGTGACCCCTTCCCACCCGCCTCCCGTCGCCTCTGCCGCCCCAGCTGCGGCGCGGGGCGCTTTGGGGCCGGCCCGGTGCGGGCAGTGTGGGCGCGGGGCGGCCGGCAGCGCCCGTCCCCGAGGAAGGAGTCGGCTGCGAGCTGTGCTGGGCTCCGACCCGCGAGGCCGGCGCTCCCAGCACAAAAGGGGAAGCGTTTGTCGTAGGTGAAACAACTGCAGTCAAGGTTTAATTTTTACCTTCTTCAAACGTCTGAAAATGTGAAGCAGCATTTCAAAAAATAATAGTGTATCTTCTCGCGTGTTTTATACGACGATTCCTCCACGTTCACCTCAATGGCGCAGCATCCAGGCACTGCACAGCTCTTCATCTCTGGCGCTCCTCCGCCCTGTGGTACCAACAAAACATCTGCCACCATCATCTGTCGACAGTTTTTCCACAGCACGTGTGGAACGGGCCCCAAGCGGCCCCCATGGAGGCCTGCGGTGCGGGTTGGCTGGGCCGTTCCTGCAGAAAATCCAGGCCTGCACTGTTCTGGAGGGATGGGATTTGTCCAGAATAAGCAACTGAAGTAGTGAAATACCAGCTGAACAGAAAATGACCTTACTGAGCAAAGGCTTTGGATTGTTTTCCCTGCAGGTTCAGCTCTGCCTCTGTGCCTTTTGGTGCCTCCCTTTGGAGGGCAGACACTCAGGAGGTGTTTTGTTTTACTGCAGTTGCCTGGAAATGGAAGAGTAATACCCGCTATTAGCTGGAAGCCAAACGTTTACCCGAGTCCACAGTTAGGAAAATAACACGGCTGCATTCCTACCTGAGATGGTAGCGATGGTGGCACAGCTGCGAAGCTCCCATAAATGGGTGGGCCAGCGTCCCACAAGTTGCAAAGTGTTCGCTCTGCTTCTGTGCACTGAAAGCATAAGTCTCAGCTACAGTTGCATCGAACTTTTCAGTATTTTACTCTTTCCCTGGAGTTTGTAATTCAATTCTGGAAAATATCAGAGTTGCTGGAAGATCTGACCCCAGGTGGCAACCAAAACGCTGTATTAAATTGCAACCCACTCAAACGAACTTTCCCCTCCTACCTGTGTCACTTTCCTTGATTTACCATCATTACTGTTCCTGTCAGTCGATCCTGCTTGTTTCATTACTTGTGGTATTGCTGTTGTATTTATTTAAGCTACTGGAAGGCAAGAAGCTCCTGTGTCTGGAGAAATCCCCCTCAAGTAGTTGGGCAGCATGCTACCATCCCGCTTCACCTCCAGTTTCAACCTTGAAGAGCAATGAGCAACACATTTAAACCGCTACCTACTTCTCATCTTTCTCTCCACAACTAAGAAGCAGGACCAGGTGTGAGAACAAGGAAATTGAGCAAAAACCCACTCTATTCTTATACCTCAGACACTGTAGACTGCTTTTTTGAGCAAGACTCAAACCGTATGGGTACAATGCAGAACAAAAGACAAGGGTGCTAAATTCTGTTTAAAGAAATGCAGCATCACAGAGGAGCGACTGCTGTGTCACAAGACTGAAGTTGGTCTTCGCTTTTGCCATTGCTTTCCACTCCTCTTTTAAGATCATCATGTTGCAGACCAGGAGGATTTCTTTGGGAGTGGCTTTGGGGACTTGAGATGAAACTGGTCAAGGCTGAGAGCACCATGAAAAAGCTGAATGCCAGAATGAAGTTAACTGGAACATATATTATGGCCAGCATCACAAATAGAACAAATCTGCTTAAAAGGAGACATGAAAATAAGCTGGATTTTATGAAAATGTATAGGATTTCTCTACTGCTGCAGAAGTTGTATTTGCTCAAAAAAACTGAAAAATGTTTAAGCTGTAGCACCATTGCTCTTGCCACCAATTACAGATACCCTAATCATAGACGTTTCTACACCCCCTGTTCTTATATGGCTTTTTTTCTTACAGAACAAGAGGAAAGTCACATTATGCAGGAGATCCGGTTGAGCTAACAATAAAAAGAGTGCTAAAAAATGCAGAGATAACTGGCTACACAACAGCACTCAGAGCAAGCGGTGGGGGAGATGCCACATTGGGAACTACAAAAGACCCAGTCCTGCAGAGACCAGGCTGCAGCAGAGCAGGGCAAAGGCAAAGCTTTATTTCTTTCTGAGCTCCTTTTTATGAACACAGTTGAAGAGATGTGAATGGGGAAGTGTCACAGTTAAAATTCCATCTCTGGGGGAAAAAATCCCATGTTTCTCAGATATTTCTGTGCCTTGTTTTATTCTTGTACAGTAGTTTTATATAGAAGAAATATGACTTATCTAGATCTTGCAGAGCACTTATGCTTAATTCTCCACTTTTCTGAAGAGGGCAGGGAACACGGGCATTCAACCTATGTTCCCTTTCACACCAAGACTTCAAGAGATTAAGATTTTTAAGATAAGACGCTGCAGGCAGAGTGTATGTGCCAGTATACATTAGTAAGCACAAGCCTACAAAAGCAACTCCAGACCGTTCAGAACTTTATGGCTTTACAATTAGTTCAATGCAAAAATGGCGAGACAATAGTTACTAGTGCTATAAGCAAGAGAGTACAGCTAAGGCTGCCTTTGTCATCCAAATTGTCTCTAACTACAAACGCTCCAACTACAGCGTGGTGTTAGAATGCAGCATTCCTTTATTCCTCACGATATCTACCGGGTGACTTAACAAACCAGCACGCTCTCTCAGAGTTGAGGTTCTACATCTAAATAGTTAAGACATACATTTCATTCTTTCCCAATAACTCATTAATATATGTTAATGTTCCTTTGTGCATGTGCAGCTGCATTTAGTTGTATGCCCGCTTACTTTATCCCCATTTTTCCACCATTAGCTTCATGACAGAGACTTTTGGCTGACCTTTAGCTGTTTTTCCCCAAACTGGCAAAATTTGACTGTTCGTTAGGCCATAATGAGCAACTTCCAAAATAATATATGTGAAAATCCGCGGAAAACGTCCTTGCACCTGGTGAAATGCAAAGACAATTAGTCTATTACGACTCCAGTGCTTCTTGTGAAGCAGAATTAAGAGAAAACAAGGCTGTTCACACACCAACCAAAGTTGAAGTTTTTAGAATTAGCACTCATTGATTCCTTTTGCTAAACTCATATATTGGCCCTTATGAGAAGGGCCTCAGAGAACAGTATCATTCTCTTTTGGCCTTTGCCTTCAGTGGCTGAACTCAGAGCCTGAACTCTGAAGTATTTCTGAACAATATGTACTTCCATACTGACATTCTGGTTGCCAATTCAATATAATTACACAGACTGGGCAGGCACAAGAGCCTTTTTTGAGAAAGAGTGAAGGCACATCTCCCGTCCAGATACATGCAGCCCTCCAGCCAACCTCCCCAGCAGAAGCAGAGCTCTTACTGCTGGGTTTTCAAAGATCCTGTTTTGGTTTACATCCAGAGCAATTTTATGGCTGAAGGATATTTTAGATCTAGAATTCAGCATCAATATCCTCCAGAGTCATAACCATAGGGCAGCACCATCTTCTATGACAGCGGAAGAATGGGACTCTGTGGAAGAGATTCAGTTGCATCCACATCCCCAAACATGGGACTCTTGCCTACCACAAAGGATGAGCTCTCTTAGATTTGTTCCTAAAGCAGGTTTCTGAAAATTTCAAATTCTTCTACCCTGCGGAAGCCGTTCCTCCTGCCTCTAACAGACACCACTTCCTGTTCTCAGCAGGTCAGTGAAAAAGCCACGCTCTCAGAGAAAAGCACTACCTTTATTTGTATAGAAAATGATGGATGCAGTAGCCAATACAGAGGCAATGTAGCAGCAAAGCGTCGCAGCATTCTTCCTATGAGGTCAGCAAATGACATAACCAATATTGAAAAATTAACCCTGCCCACGGCACGGGGTTTGGAATTGGATGATCCTCGAGGCCCCTTCCAACCCAAGCCATTCTGTGAATGCAGGGTCCTGCTCCAGAATGGGCCAAGGGGCCCAGACATCCGTCAGTGAAAGAGGGATTGGCTTTTTCCGGGTAAGAATTCAGCAGCACAGTCCTTTTTCTTGTCGAGCGTACCTACAGGAACGGGGAGCAAAGCGGGGTGCCTGCAGGCACGAAGGGGAAGTGGGGACAGCGCCTTTCCGCACCGCTGCCGGCCCGCCGCGCCCAGCGTAACCTGCGGTAGGAGCTGCCCCGAGCCCGCAGGAGCCCAGCGAGGCACAAAGCACGGAGTCCCACCGGCCCGAGAGCCGCAGCTGCACGCGGTGTCTTCTGGAGGCTCATCTGCCTGCGAGCGCCTTGAATGCGCAAAGAGACCCATCGTTAGAGAGCGACCGCGGCTCGGCCCCGGGCTCAGCGCGGCTCGCCTCCGCCGCTTCCCCGCCGCCCCGCTCCGGAACTCCGGCGGCCCCGCCCCTCCCCTCCCGCCCGCCGGGGCCCTTCGGTGCCGGCGCTGTTTCCGGGGCGAACGGCCGCGCCTGCCCCAAAGTCGCGGAGCCTCGGCGGTGCCGAGGGGGGGAAGGAAGGACGGAAGGACGGAGGCGGGCGGCCGCCGGCTCGAGGGGAAACGCCGCGGAGCTCCGCGGGTGGCAGCAGGCAGCGGGGCGGGCAGCCGCGCGGGGCCTCGGCGCGGGCGGGAGAGCG